AAAATACTAATAATGGGACACAAACACAGAATTTAGAAAGCAATATATTCTTTCAAGTAAATATATTGGGGGGAAAAAAACAAGCTAATGTGCTAGGCAATCAGCGCAAAAAAAATTAGAAAAAGATAAATCTAAATAAAAGAAAAAATCAAAGGCAGAATTTAATTACATAGAAAACAACAAAATTGAGAGTATGGTATAGAATACTGAATAGCACTTAGAATGGATCTACCTGAATTAATATGAATAAATCCCAAAGACATAATGAAAAAAACTCAAAAAGTAAAGACAGGTTGCAAAAGAATACATTCAAACTGATACCATGTAAGTCAAGATTTCAAACACAGATAACATTATACATTTTAATGGATAGAGACATGTGCAGAAATCTGTTAGATCCTCACCAAAATCAACTTTCTTCCTAAATCAGACCGAAGTTTTAATTGTAGGTGGCAGACAAAAAGGTATCGATGACTCATTGTAAATGATCACCACATTTCCTGTTGATAGTCAACAAATCTACTCTCCACAGATCCATGAAGGAAAACATTGATTATTGCAATAATAAGAAAATTGTATTCTTTTTTTAACTCCTCTCTCTCAACCTCAGGCACTCAGTACAGTATGTGGCATGTAGTTGTATGTTAATAAATGTTCATTTGTTACTGCTTTTTCTTGAATTTAGATACTATAAAGAATGTGTATAATGTACTTCCTTTGAACCTGAAAATGTACAGTAACTCAAGCCTTTGCATCCTATTTTGTGCTTCTTCCCTTTGGTTGTTAGGAAAAGTCAATAACATTTAACAAAATTGTCAAGAATTGAGATATTTTACAGTTGGGTGAAGGTCAAGAAATATGTCCATCCAAAGTAGTATTAAGAAAATAAAGATATGTAACATGAGGAAATGCTTATAATATGCTAAATGAAAAATACTAAAAGCAAAACTTTTTACATGCTATAACATGAATGAATTTTGAAAACATTATGCAAAGTGAAAGAATCCAGACACTATAATGATATAGCCATTAAAAATAACAGGAGATAATATACAAAAAAAATGCATTTGACATGCTTAACACAGAGTCTGACATATAGTATATACTCAGTAATTGTTAACCATTTTACTGTGATTAACTGTAATAGTATATGGAAAAATGAAAACAATTTTACTTTGCACATACTTGAGTTGGAAAAGTTGTGGGTGAATTTTTACAGTTATTGTTTCCAGTAGAGCTGTGATAATACTGCTTGTGCAGTAAATACATTTTTAAGGGTTTAAAAATAAAAGCTGTACTGACTCAGAGGCATCTGTTTTTGAGCCAAAGTTCATGTAAGAGCTTGCATTGGTGGAGCTACTCAGCTCTAAAGAAAAAGATGAGAAAAAGGGACAGATATATTTCAGTGGAAGTACAGAATAGAGAAACCATCTTCTCATCTCTTCAGTATATGCACGGAGTCATTTATTAACTCTATTTATTCTATGCTTTTTATTTTCTGGTTATCAACATTCACCTTAGATTAGCTCCTGAAGGCAAAAGGCATATTTTTAATTTGCCTAATATAGCGCCTAGCATGATGGCATGGACTAGCAGACTATTTCAGTGATAATTAAAAATATTTTTCCTTTGCCAGTAATTCTTACTTAATCAAGCCAAAATCAATCTGTGTATCAAAGAACTATTCTGGGGCTTTGATTAAAAGCCACAGATTTTAATCTCTTTTCTGCAAATATTCTAAAACAGTAACAATACTACTTTCATAAATCTGAATCAAATATAATTCAACAACTATCCCCAGATTAAAATTTTATAACTATAAAATAAAGTACATAAGAACAAAGGCTGTGTGGGGCCTGGAAAATTGGGCATAAAGGCGTGGATAGGTTCATGTAATTAATTACATGTGACCTTTTTCTTTATTTTGATTTCCAGAATTATTTCTTAAACTGTAATTTTTTTATAAACTTACCTCCACGATAAGGCTATTGGACTGGCAATTGTTGTTTGAGACAATATGGGCACGAAGAAATGACATCTCCTCTTTTAAGCTTAAATTTTTGAACATGAACTTGAAGAAGAAATCTCTAGCGGAGGTCTCAATTGCTTTCCTCCCTAGTTTCTCCTTTCCCTGTTTTACCAATATACTTAACATTTAGCATAAAAACTAGAGAAAGCACAGCCAGCTTTCTAGGAGCTAATGAGCTGGGCAATATCCCATTTTAAAGTTTAGGACATCAGGGCTCAGAGATGATCATAGCATCTTGGACATTAGGAGGGACCTTCGAAGGTATCTAATCCAATGCTTTTTCTCCTGCCTCTAATCCCACCATTTAACAATGGGAGAGGTTAAAGTTTATAGCCCAATTACAATATACCTTGTGAGTGTTGGAACCAGAACTCAAGCCTGCTCTTCTAACACCATGTTCTTCCCAAACTGTCTTAGTACCTATTTGGGATCTTCTTGCCTGTGTGGGGGAAGGCAGCCCAAGAATGAGTTCCTGGTGGTTTCTGGGGTTACAGAGGTCTGGGTAGCAATTTTACCTTTGGACTTCCTTGTAGGTCCTGCTAAAGGCCTTCTTAGAACCATACCATTCAGGGAGTTTCTTGATCTTCTTGCCTGTTTCTGGGAGTGGCCCTACCAGGTGGGTCAGACTGAAGTAAGGATTTATTTCCAGCAGCCTGTGGCTCTCTCCACACTCCTTAATCCAGTCCAAGTTTGTCTCTAGAAAAAGGTAGGGAAGGATTGTGTCCTGTGAAATCCTGACCTTATATTGGAACCTAGAAAACCTTCCAGTGATTTTTCTTATCCTGCATCTTATTTTTCCAAACATGTTTGAGACCAAGGTAAAGCACTGATTTCTCAGATGTAACTCCTGGTCGAGGTTATTCATCAGCCACTTCTTGTGCTTGAGGGTCCCAGGATGACATCTCTGGCCCAGGTTGAATCTCCCAACTGCTTTTCTAGGCCTTGGTTTGTGTTTATATTCTTTTCAGTGATTACACACACACACACGCACACACACAATTTGTGATACTCCAAGAACAAGCTTGAGAGAAAGCTTTCATTATTAAATACAGTAACCTATTTATGGTGTTTGTCATCTATGATTGCTTTCAAATAACTCCTTGTGGTAATTCTTTTATCCCTCCCATAAAAATTCATATCTTTCTAACTGCCCTGCATTCATTTGGGGTGGAGATGATTAGAAGCACAGTTAATTGTTAGTAATATAAACCCTAAGATTGGAGCACTTGGAGTACTTTCGCTACTCAACAGAGAGCTTTTGTGGCTGATTTTTAAGCACAGACACATCTGCTTTATTTTTACATATAGAGCTTTCTTTGATATACAAGCCAAAAATTTACTTGAAGCAATCTAAATAGTATGAGGAAGAATGTCTCTTTGGTTGGGTGGGTGTGTGGGTGTGTGTATGTTTTAAACAATGAGCATCACAGAGTATCCTTACGGCATAATATAGGTATGTTCCCTATAGAACAGCTGAACATAGGCAATTTCATAAGTAGGCAGTGAGCACAACATGCTTTTTAAATTAACTTAAAATATTTTGAATCCTTGGTGTTCTTAACCATTCAGAAGTCTTTAGCACTAAGTTTTAAAATATGAACCAAATAGCATTGATAATAGAGGTTTTGTTTTTTGTCTTTAGTACAATATGAGAAACATTTATGTGCAGTGTTTGTTCCAAAAATAATTTAAAATGGCTGATCAGAAATACAGTAATGTATGCAAAAAATAGAGATCAAGGCAAAACTAATATATAAGGAAAAATAAAATTAAGCTAAGAATAAGGTTACTACTACACAAATGTACCCTGTGAGGTTCACTTATTTGGTCTACTAGTGAGCATGGGAAGTATGCCTAAATTGAAATGAAAATTCTAATATTGATTATAATTCACATCTCTTTTCATTGCCCTAGAGTTCTTAACTGTGCCTGAACAACTCAAAATTTTCACATTTGATAATCGTGAATATCCTCCTTGTGGTGATATCCTCCTTGAATCCTCCTGTCTTTTAGTCATTTTATCTCCAATTAGCATGTCATCTTCAGAGGTTGGTGAAGGAAAAAAAAATGTGAGGATCATCCTAGCCTATTTTATTTCTTGTTTAACAAAAGGGAGGCGGTTAGAAGAGTGGGTAGGTGGGGAGTGGGATGGCCTAGGGCAGCTTGGTGTTAATGGAACCATTTGGAAGAGGATTAAAAAATATTTAAATGTGTGATGTTTAGTTATCAAAGTTATCACAACAGAAGGATTTCGTAAAGACACCTTGATAAGGCAGGCTTTCAGAGAATGCTTAACATTTCTTAATATTGAACATTTCCCTACTCACATAATTAGAAGCGTAAAGGTCCAAGGTACTTAGGATCACAAACTTTGTAAAAAGCCTGTTGATCAAACAAACTTAGACAGGTTCTTATCTAGAAAGAATGGGAAAGAATGCAAAGTATTAGAGAACGTAATTGTTCAACAATGTGGTAAATATATCAAACCAACAGTATCTTATGTTGCTATTAAAATTATAGAAGTTGTGTAAACATAAGACTATCATAAAAATTATAGAGCATTTATGATAAAAATATGAGGAAAATGAAAACTGATATGTAAACTATAAAACACATAAGATATCTAAGCTAAACAAAGAATAAGGATGGTATGTAAAAACAAAATAGTTATACTGGGTTGACTAAGATGATAAATTTCTTTCTTGATATATCATGATGTTTTGTCATAAATATGAAGAAGGAGAAAAGGAATGAAAATTTTTTCACATGAAGAATATTTTTTAGCGATTTACTTACTCATTAAAATGATTTGTTTTTTCAGTCTAAAATTTACATACTCGTGGCAGATGATTACAATATCTAAAATGTTTTTCTTGCCATTAAAATTTGCTTTATGTGTGTATTTTTCTGAAGAAATTCATACGGGAGAACTCAATGTTCTTTTCTTCTTTCCAATCCTCATTTTATTCAGGAATTGCCTTGGGAGTCTTGGTTCGAGAATACAGCAAGCTCTCTAACCTGGACAAGTTCTACTTTGCTTTTCCTGGAGAAATCTTAATGAGGATGCTGAAACTCATCATTTTGCCATTAATTGTATCCAGCATGATTACAGGTACCTTGAGAGGACTGATGTTTTCTATGATTATTTAAGGAGCCATCACTTAAGTTGTTCTTTTCTAATTATGGAAAAAAATCAAAATATTACTTGGAAAGTATATATTTGCTTGAGTGGAACTATTTCATTATTTACAAAGTGGCATTGCTTTGTGGCATGGTTCTATCGATAGTACAGCACTTTCCACCACAGCTCAAGTCTTCATTTGACCAGCCATATGATGTCTTGTGAGAAAGATGTCATTTTTTAAAGATACTATATATAAAACTCTATCCAGAGCACAGAAGTAAAAACAAAAACAGAAATGTCAGCTAGTGTTCTCAGGCAAAATGTGATTGTCCATTCTGATCATGTTTTTAGTAGTTTACTCATTTATTTCCCAGCTGCAACCGTCCTGCCCCCTACCCTCTCAGCAGCTGCCTTCAGGGTCCTCTCCTCCTTCTCTTTATCTACTTCCACTCCTCCACAGAACTCAGAACTTGCTGCATACCTGCCCTGGAAATTTGCCCAGGGGACCAGCAGCCACATCCCATGGGAAAGATTCAATTATAGGTTTGCCCCATATTTTAAATGCCTCAGGTTTTAAAATCTGAACTTGTGACAGTTGAATTTGGAAATGATTTTTCCGTTATTGATCATTATATTGCAGATTCCTTTAAAGCACAAGCTCCCTTATGTAGATGGAGGTTAATTTGGTTTACAAAAATATCACTTTCCTGGGTATGGTAAGCTTCCCTGTGCATTTCATAGTTTCTTATACTTGCCTTAATTCTGGTAACAGGCAAAATATGGCACAATCACTAGTGTCAACTTGAAAATCAAGGTTTTATATAACCATGCACATAGGATTCTTGCAGAACATTTTTCTCCTGCCACTGAAGAGATCTGGGACTAATCTATATAGAGTACTAGACATTGGCTGGGGAAGAAAGGGTGGGTGTCAGGGTCTGCTGCATTCAGCAGTTGCATTGCCAGAAGAGCTGTAGATTTGGCCATTGAACTTTTCAAATGCCAAACCAATCTAACTAGAATCTTTTGGGAGCCTTGTTTTTAAATGGTCCTAGTGTTCCTGGCTTATTACAAACCTAAAGAGAGCATTTTTATTTATGAATTTAATTATGTTTTGAAATGCTTGCCTTCTTTTATGCCCTGCAGCCTGAAGGCCAAATCAGCAAACCAGTTGTTTGTACTATATAATGTTTATTTATTTAACTTGCAATTATTGTAAGCATTTAAAATTCGGAAGATTTCATGTAATCAACCAGATTTCTAGCTTCCACTGAAAAAAAAATTAACATGAAACACTGGACCCATTTCCTCACATACCAACAGTGGTCTGGAGCTGAAAGACAGCTACTCTGTTTAGTTGCAGCAGATGTATTTAAGGATACCACAGTCTCCCCTGCTCCCTATTGCCTAATACCTCATTTACTTCACTTATTTACCTTACCTACTGGCCCCTATACACATTACCATTACAACCCCTTAGAAATTTCTCTATATCAAAGATTCTTAATCTTAGGCTCCTTTGAGAACATAACTCTCTCCCAAGAAAAATTTTCACAGATGTACATATATACTATATTTTGCATGCAGTTGCCCAAGCTTCATAAACCACTTGATGATCGATACTATTTAAAACTTATGTATATGGAAGAAGGTATGGAAAGTTGATCCAAATTAGATAGCAGATCCAAAACTTGTACAGTAAACCAGGTTTTAGAAGAAAAGGTGAAAAATTAAAAAAAAAATAGAAGAAAAGGTAATAAATGCATGAATATACCAGATGTATAATATTGGATGTTTGAAAATATGTACTCCTCTTGGCAGTCAATAACTAGTGAGATTTTTTTCAGTCTCTCTGTTTTGGGTGCTACTTCGGCTTTGCACATAGTCTAGAAAAATGATTTGCAAGCCTGAGCATTCCACTCACATAACTCAGCTGTTTTTGAAGCTGTAGCACAAGTCCAGTAATTTCTACATTTTTCATTCACCAAATCCCCAGAAGTTAAATAGGAGTTAGAGAACAGAACCACTACCCATGCTTTTGACATGGAGTGATAAAATGGTCCACGATTCAAGGGACGTGAACAAAGCAAGATGGGGACACGATTCTGTATTCATGTTTTAAGTTATCAGATTAAAAACAAAAGGTAATACTGCTAGTGTTGGCAAGGTTGTGGGAATATGGGCTCAATCACATATGTTTGGTTATCATATAAATTGGAACAAACTTACTGGGAGGGCGGTTTGGAAAATGTTCTGACTTTTCCACTTGGTAATTCTGCTTCTTGGAATTTATCATAAAGAAATAATCAGAAATATGTTCAGAGATGTAGGTACAAGGATGTTCATGATAGGATTGTTTTTTGTAATGGTGATAAATTATAAGCAATCCAAATGTATGTTATACTTGTAAATTAGGATTCCATGCAACTATTAAGAACCTTATTTTGGAAACATTTTTAATGACATGTAGAAATGTTCCTATTATGGTATAAAGTAGGAGCATTAAACAAATTACACAACGAGATGTTTACAATCCAAATTTTATTAAAATTTATATACATTTTAAAAAGTTGGGATCACAACCAAATGGTTAACAATGGTTAGATCTGGATAGTAAGAAAATTCGATCCATTGGGTTTTCTTTACATTTTTAAGGCAAACACATATTACTTTTGTTTGTTTTTGTTCTCTTGTTTTGTTTTGTTTTTTAAAGAAAGAAAGAAGAAAGTGAGATGGATTCTGCTTTGTGTCCTTCCAGCGTTGCCTGTTCCTCTCCTCCCCAGCTCTGCTCCATGTCCCTGTAGCTCAGTACCACCTTTACCCTGGTGTGAGGTCCATCCCCCAAACCCTGCAGTGGTGCTTGGCCTCCACACTGAGCACAAGCAGGAGGGTAAAGCAGAAGCTAGAAAATACACAGGACAAACAGTTTTCACATTTCAAAAGGCTTTATAAATCCAGCAGATCAAAAGCTTATTTTATATATTAATGAGTCCAATGGAGGTTGAATGTTTGAAGCCGGGGAGAGTTGAATGAGCCCTAAGAACATAAATTAGAGATAGAGACACAGAAAAAAATTGCGACCCAGTACTAACCTGTGCTTTTGCATCAAGGAAACTCTTGTCAAACTAACAAATAGGAAAAACCCTCTGCCATCAAAGTCTCTGCCGATATAAAAATACTTACTTTATAGCCATTTAAAAAAACAAAACAAAACAGGAACAATCCCTCTTTGTGTGATGGTGATGATAAAATGTTATGTTAATCATTGAAATTGGAATATAGACTGGCTATTAGATGGTATCAAGAAATTGTCGATAATTTTGTTAGTGTTGAGAATGGCATTTAGTTATGTAAGAAAGTATCCTTACCTTTTAATGCTTATGGGATTATGTAGGAATGAAATGACAATGTCTGGAATTCACTTTAAAATAAAAAAAGAGAGAAGGCACAGTAGACATAATCTCAAGACATTTTCAGAGACAGTGTAGGCACTAACAGAACTCTGCGTGTAATTTACATCCTGAGGGCCACTCTCAGAATATCTATGCTTGGGCCCTGTTAACACTTAGGTACAAAAGCTGTATTTATAGCAACCACAAGGGAAATAGCCTGGGAAATGGCTTATGAACATGCCTGAGAACTGTGGCTGTGGAAAATCCTGGTCCAGGTCTCACCAGCCAGTGAGTTTAAATTCAGGTCACATTTTCTTTCATATCCAAATTATGATGACTCGAACCTCCTACCAGCACAGGAATGGAAAGCCCCTCAGCGCCCATTCCCAGAGGTGCGATCCCCGTTGTGTTCAGGAGGCAGTCCCCATCTCTTCCACTCCGGCCACTTTGCCACAACCTTCTGGGCCAGAAGTGCTCCACTGGGCACAGCTGCCTCCCTGCTGTCTCCTGTGGCTACTGTCACTCCTCTGATCCTGCAGAGCTCCCCTCCTTTGCTCTTCCATCCTAAGATGAGACTGAGAACTTCATTCTTCATAGTGCAGCGGAGACCAGACTGCTACTTGGTGTCAGTGCCAAGCTGATCGAGAAGGGAAGATTTTGATAGTGAGACGCCAGTTGAAAGAATGCACGAGGGGCTGGCGAGAGAATGAAACAACACGCACCAACTTTATTGCGGGGAGCACGCTTCTGCTCCTGCTCTTCTTCTGCTCCCCTTCTGCTTCCCAGGGGACCACATGGCTCCACATATATCAGAGTACAACCGTGGCATTCAGCCACACATGCATCATCAATAAGCTGAATTATGTTTACATAGTTTAGGTGCAGGTGCCCTACTAATATAACATTCTAAATCCAGGGTCCTATTCCTAACCGCAAGCCTGGATCACAACCAGACCTGGGACCCTCCAGGCCTGGGACCCACGCTTGGGACAAAGTTTTACGAAAGGCTGGAGAATGAAAGGAAGTGAAATACCAATGAAGGGGCTTTTTCAAGAGCCCCAGGGACCCTTAAGAGAGCTGCCCCACTGCTAAGCTACCAGCCTATGTCCGGGAGGCTGGGGCCAGCTTATCCCTCCACATGAAGATGTTCCAGGCATTGCTGTACCCCACACCTCACCACCTGACACTAAATTCTAAGTAAAAAAAGTTTCCTATTACACAGGTTGCTCCTGTCCTGGCCCGGGAGCAACCTCTTCCTGAGATGACTGTCATTGTAGAATATCCACTTCAGAGAACACCCTCTTCACAGCCACAAGGGGATGGTTTTGTCCTAGGGATCTTATCAGGAGACTCACACTAGAATGGATGCCATTAGTACCTGCTGGGTTGTGGCATACCCACCCAACTTGCAAGACTCAAGAGTCTGTCCAGGTTGAGCTATGCCCAGGCAATGCTGGTCCTGTGGCAGTTCACCATCCTGTCGCATCTTACTCTGGATTTCCTACAGACGCTGTCTACTCAAGAAGCAACACCAGTTTGCAGCTCCATGCATTCTGAGTTTATACCAAGCCAAGAAAACTTCTTACCCTTCACCCC